ACGGACCACATGGAAACAAAAGGGGGCAGCGCTCAAGAAAATGGATCATGTAGTAGTGCGCAGCGTTCCTATCGCAGCTGTCGCACGGTGTTCCCATCACCGGCGGGCGGCGGCCTACTACCACTACACCAACGTAATTCATGGCTTCATCAAGATCCGGTCAGTAAACCACCAAATTCCACATAAGAAATTAGATGATACATGCATAGCCTAAGATCATGTTTAAGAGTTAACTCTAATAAATATAACTGTATTACTTCTAAACGTTGATTCGAGATATCTAAATATAAATTGATTATTAAAGTTTGAATGCACGAACATCTAATATTCACTCATTTTGACTAGAAGAAATATATTTGATTTTCCGTCAAATATGTATATCGCTCACTTCAAAGGAAAAACTAAATGGTTGTAGTACAGATACTACTACTAGGTGTATATAATCGGTCATCTTGGAGGCTCCATCTTAACTGCGATTTTGGAATGTCAAAGAAGATAAAAAAGCAGCTAGTGGTTCTGACTTTGAGGGATGAATTCTTGCAGTGAACCTTTCAAGTTTCAATCAAGCTGTTTTCAAAAAAAAAAAAAAAAGTTTCAATCAAGCCCTTTCTAGTTTCTACCGTTGTTCGTGTGCTGCGAACCTGCGACAGATCTCTACCGTTGACTTATCCATCCTGTGATACCAAACCGATTTGACTATATGTGCATGCATGTTAGGCCAGTTACACATTCTTCTGGACGGTCTGCCCACCGGCAAACCTGACTAGTTCAATATGGGCAGTCTCAGTGCATAGAATTTATTTTATCAATGTTATGCTAGATAGAATGAAAGAAATTGTTCACCTAATACATAAATAAGTAGTATCTATATTTGACATCTAAACAATTCCACATTATTTCTATGCAATCATCATTTCAATTAATTGACGCTTGTATACTAAGACCGTGTTCTTCCCCTAGTTTTCCGCGCACACGCTATTCAAACTGCTAAACGGTGTGTTTTTTTTTCAAAAAAAATTCTATATGAAAGTTGTTTTACAAAAACATATTAATCCATTTTTCAAAAAAATTAGTTATTATTTAATTAATCATGCAATAATACGTGCTTCATTTTACATGTCCCAGAGAAGGTGTTCCGAGTTCCCAACCCCTCCTCCCGAAAACAACCTAAGGTGTATGCTTCAGTAAAATTTTGGTGCAGTCTTTGTGGTTGGATTTCATGTTAAAGCAAGGTCTCCTGCATGACATAAGTTTTTTTTGCGGGCTAATATAACCCATTATTAAAAAAATGACCTAAGTTTTTCTTGTCTCTCCGTATTAATCGTAATGCATCTCAATTTTTATCCTATGTGTCATGCTATTTAACTGCACAAACTCTAGTTGACGTGGAGCGCTGGGAGTGCAATTTACATTCTAATTTTGCTAATGATTGTTCATACACAAAATTTGTATACCAGAATCTGGAATATAACCGATGTGAGACAATTATAATTTGAAAAAACAGAGTCAGAGAATCAGAGGACTGCAGTTGTTTCTTTCTGTATAAATCATCAGCCAAACATTTTTTTTAAGTGCAAAGTCAACCGTGTATATTCTGTAAAGAGTAACCAGTGAGTAATTACAGAAAACATTACTAATACAACTGTCCGTAAGGGTCTTCTTGGACATTGGATGGAATGTGTCTCCCTCATAAGAGTAGCGATCGAATTCGTAAGTACTCCAGCATATGTTCCCCCCCCCCCTAGCTTTCAGAGAATTGAATTATTTAGAGAAATTAAGAAGTTGACTGGCAGCTTCCAAGAAAAAAATAACAAATGGCAGGCATCAAAGCCGAGATGTACTGTTTACAACTTGCCGATTGACTGAAGCACAAAGCACGCCACGCGCCCACGACCATACGAGTCGTCGTTTGTTACCAAGTGACGTACGTGTCAGGTGCATCCTGATACGGTACGGATCCCCCAAGAAAGGAAGAAGAACATTACTAGCATCGAAGGCTTGGGGAAGCTGATTGCAAATTGTCGATCTCGAGCGACCTCAAATCACATCGTCAGCGTCGAAGAGTTTAGTCGATCGGCTGCCGTTCTCCGCCGTTGGCCCGTATCCGACCGAGCGTTGGGTGGTGGGTACTGAATGTTGGGTTGCGCCGCAGAGGTGATTTTTCGTCTGGGCTTCTCGTTCATCTGTACTCCCTTCATGGGCCAGAGCTTTGGTTCTGTCGAATCCGTTCGGCCGGTGTTTGTCTTTCGGGAATAAGTCCACTTTGTGTCCCTCAACTTTCATTCGTGTTTGCTTGACATCTCTTATCTCCAATACCAGAAATCTTCACCCCTAAACTATACAAAACCGTATAGTTTGAGTCCCATAACAGTATGGATGACTGGTTTCGCTGATGTGTGGCATCCTAGTCAACAACATAAAAATAAAAATAATATGTGGGGTCCACATGTAAGTGAAGTGAGAAAAAAAATGTGGAGCCCGCATGTCAGCCTTATCATCTTTCTTCTCTTTTCTTCCCAAGCCTGGGAGAGGGGGGGAGGCAGCTGGCAGGAGAGGGGGGAGAGGCGACTGGCGAGCCTAGGAGGGAGAGGGGGTAGAGCCGGCTGGTCGCACCGGAGGGAGAAGGGGAGAGGCGGCCGGTGAGCCTGGGAGGGAGGGGGATGCAGCGATGTCGGCGCAAGCTTGGAGGCCGATTGCATCATGCGGTGGCTCAACGGGAAAGAGCCGCCCTCTGCGATGCTCGTCTCCTTGGCAGCGGTAGCACATGGGTTGGAGCTGAGTGACACAACCTTCATGCACGCGAGCTGGTGGTGGAAAGGGTGGGCGCCGCAATGGCACGTGTGCATCATCGTCGAGTGAGACTGCAGCGAACATGGCTCCCAGGCTTGCTGACCCCCTCTCCCGCAGGCACCTCCCCCTCCCTCCCAGGCTCGCTGGCCGCCTCTCTCCCCCTTTCCCACTGGCGTGGTCGGCTGCCTCTCTCCCCCTCTCCCTCTAGGCCCATCGACCCCCTCTCCCGCCAACTGTGTCCCCCTCTCTCCCAGGCTTGTATGGAGAAAAGAGAAGAAAAATGATGGGGCTGACACGCGAGCCACACATTTTTCTTCTCACTTCACTTTACATGTACATATTATTTTTATTTTTATTTTAGTGACTAGGATGTCACATCAGCGAAGCCAGACATCCATATTGCTATGGGACCTAAATTGCATGGTCTTGTATAGTTTAGGGGTGGAGATTTCTGGTATTGGAGATAAGGGATATCAAACAAACTTGATGTAAAGTTGAGGGATGAAAAGTGGACTTATTCCTTGTCTTTCTAATCAACCGATTTATGGCCCAACAAATGCGCTAGCCAGCTTTCGGCCATTTCTGATCAAGTTGAATGGCCGGTGATTCGTAGAACAAGCAAGCTGAGTTGGGGCTTTTCTTTGTGATTTTCCTCGGTTCTAGACTTCTAGTTCTACTATCTCACTTAGGGTGAAATGGTCGGAATCGATAGCGGCTATTCAGAAACGATGATCGGTTGACTGATAATTGACTATATTTATCATTTAAAATATTTATTGTCGACACCAATACGATACGCAAGAAATTAGAACCGTCATGCCGCCTCCGCTCCCGAACCGCACCGCTCCGTGTGGCCATCTCCTCCTCCCACCTCACGCTCCACTGCTCTCCCTCCCATGCCTCCCTTCGACTGAGCGTCTGCTCCCATGCCCGCGCACAAAATCAGGGTCGTCCATCTCCCCCAGACTCCAGCTCGGCCGCCACAGCTGCCTCACCCCGTGCCACTACACCAACCGTGCGGCCGTCCCACTACTCGGTTTGGTTACAAGGAATGCAAAAACCCACGTCTTGTTCACCGAGAAAAGGCCTGACTATTGAGCTGGCCCATTAGCAAAGGCATTGCCAAAACAACAAAATGGACAACATCGAGTTCCCATGTCGGACATCATCAGAGCCCAAGTTACAAAAGCACCATTTTCTGCACCTAGCTAACGCCAACACAACAGGCACATGAGTCCACCAATGGCCATCGCTGCATGGGTAAGGTTCTCTAGAACAACACCCCCATGAAGGACGCGACGTGAAACGCCGTCATTGCTCGTCCAGAAACATAATCAAGTTATTTCCTCCCCGCACGCACTCCCGCACTCACGCACGTATGCCCGGTTCCCACGCACTCCTCCCCTCCTCGGCGGTAGCGGGCGTCGGCAGGCGGCAGCGGCAGCTGGAGGGAAGGAGGCATGCAGTGGCGCACGAGGGGGGAGGCAGCGGCGCTCTCCCCTCCCAGATCCGGCGGTGGCGGGCTCGGGAGGGGCCGTTCGTGGGCGGGAGCGGCGCCGGGGGGCTAAGGTGTGGACACCCCGAGTATTATACCATCCAGTGTCCAACGCGACCACCACATATTATTGGAGAAGTGGGATCCATACACGCATAAATAGCCATTCGTCCTCAATGTGTCCATGATCGCGGTTGACAACCTTCTGTTATAATAACCGGAATGTCGAGTAGTGAGCGCAAGACATAACTGTAAGATAGCTTGCCAGTCCACTCTGTCATATGCCTGTCAACCACTCGAAGGTGGCGACCAAAAGCATACCCCAGTGACTCGATCCAAAGTGCTATCCCCGATTATCTCAAGCGATCAAAACCCGTTACTCATGCTTAGCTAGTCCCCAGGAATGCGACTAGCCTCACACTTTTATCGCAAGCAATTAATAAACATAGCAAGTACCATAATAGGGTTAAAGTGCAGTGAGGTACATGACACATAATAGGGTCCAAGGTCCCAACATACAACACATAAATATAGCAGCGGAAGTCTCAAATAGAGTTCATAAGCAAAAGATAAAACCGGTGGTGCCACAATCCCACTAGGGCAAACCAACCGGGTAAGAGCCAAGCTGCAAGAGGTCACTCATTGCCCTCGTCGCCCTCGGCAGAGCAATGACCACACAAGAAGTATAACTCATAACCGGAATCCTCTCCTGAAATTGCAGACACCGGGTTAAGTACAAGATTGTACTCGCAAGTCTTACCCAAAATTGTATATACATAAGGGAGAGAGAAGTATGCAAGCTTTCTAGCCTATAGTGGGTCTCTAGGTTCAACATTTGCATAAAGCTAATTTTTGTAAGCAATTAATGAGTAAAATAAGCAAGGACAAGTAAATCTAGCATCATTTTAATTTATGGACAGTAAGTATATAATTCTGAAATGTATAAGCAAATGAGCCCAAACGGCACTCTCATCATCAACCATGGACCACCAAAGTCCATACCAACATGGCACAATATGCCAACACCACCATCAAACATAATCCCATCCATAATAATCCACATTTGATGCTAACATAACTGACTAACACATCAAGCATTGTCCATAACCGAGGACACGACTATTCGAATAGATTATACTCTGATCAGAGGTGTACAACTGGACCCACACGAAATGAACAAGGATCAAAAGCTACACACCCCGACGAGTGCGGTACACGAGTGATACAAGCTCATTACATGCCTTTCCTAATCCCACCCCAACCATCTATACCACGTCGGGGTTCCCGACGACTCAGTCACGTGCGTGCATGATGTGACCAAGGCGGGCGCGCCACGCGGGAGGCACCCCCGGCCAAACCTAGGCACCCGAGGCCCTCCAAAGGCTACCTGCCTCACGACTCTCCAACGTGGTATAAATGATCACAGTAGAACTAGTAAGAACAAGCCGGTCCCAAATAAGACATGTGGTAAGTACGTAAGATGCTTGATTAGATGTCAAAATGTTCGGTCCTTAACGACCTAGACGAGGCTACTTGCATCAGGGGAAACCAACCTCCCATCATCGTCCTATCACCCGTCCAAGTCCAACATATTTTATCAACCATTATTTAGTGTAAGTGCTCAAGTTTTATGCCCAATAATGCAAGTTGTCTATATACCACAATTAATAGCACTGTCCATCCCTATAGTTCTATTAACACTAAGCATGGCTAAGCATTAATGAATAAGACGTCCCAAGTAATCCCAACTAGTGGTAATAGGGTATAAGGACAACAATATCACAAGAACTAAATGCATAAATAGGTTCTACCCATACACCATAAACCGACAATATTAATATCTAGGCAATGCATGCATATATATACGTATAGATTGCAACCAAATCCTTTTTAGAGAAAGCATAGGTTCTATATGCTAAGGTGCTTGCCTTGCTGCTGAGGGTAGTAACTATCCTCCTTGGGATATGGCTCGTTACTCTCCGGAATCTCCGAATCTATCGAAAAGAAGCAATATGCGAATAACAGCCAAGTAAACATGCACATGTAAAATGATCAATAAATTATGAATAAATACAGTGGGTAGATCATATTTTAACTTGAATTTAGGTGAAAGAATCATCAGATTATCACTTATGGTTTGGGAGATATGAAAATGACAAGATCTCAGGTGCTGAAAATGGCAGTTCTGAAAATTTTAGTGTTTCCTTTAGAGCATTACAAGCAACTTGCAACTCAAACCAAGTTTTCATAATAATGATTATTTTTAGAGTAAAGTACATCACTCACGGGTCCGGTCCTAAGAAAATATATTTCACAGCTGTATGTGTTGTCATTATTTATATATGGGTTTTACAAGTTAAAATCATGGGAATGCTAAACAACTACTAAACAAGATTTAAGAGGTAGTTTTGCCAAAAACAACACCACAACAGCAAAGAGTACTAAAATATAAGCTCAACAAAATTGGTTTCACAATTTTAGCTTTTACCAATAAATTCTTACGAATTTATTAAGAGCTAGACCACACAAGGGATACATATAGATATTTATGTTTTTACTGGGAAAACCAGTACAAAAGTTGGTCATTTTTATTTTACAACATTGAATATCACGTTTTTCTTAATCCACAGAAATTTTGTTCAGCTCAAACGGAATTCAGATGAATTTTCTACACATTTTTGAATTTAGTACAATTTCAGCGCATGTTGAAAACAGTTTTCCATTAATAGTCCTCGAACTTCCTGGATATTACAGAGCGGTCAAGGCTACAGTGCTATATGTCTTGGTCTGTTTTTTTTTGGGAAAGAACCCTCAAGTTTATCTAATTCACCGATGAGGTCCCTGGCTCGAGCTTACGGGGAGGCAGCCATGACTGGGCTCAGTCTAGAGCTTGCCGGCAGCGAACAGAGGCTCGGATGGGGTCGAGTTCAACAGAGAAACTGTAGAGGAGGTCCATGCGAACACGGAGGTGTCCGTGCTGATGAAAGAGGTGGTCTATAGCTCGTGAAAAACAAGCTACAGCGGCGGTGGTTCTTGGAATGTGCATGCATGTCGAGCTACAGTTCGGAATGGGCTATATGGGTGCATGCATGGGTTGTTTAGGGGTATGCAGTGTCTCACCGTGCAGCTGAAAGGGGTCGGAGAGGTCCAGGAAGCAGCGATGGCGTTGGAGATGCCCGGCAACACAACAAACACGATGACGACCCGAGAACGACTAGATCTGGCCATAAAAACCCCAAATAAACGTTTGAATGAGCTAGAACATTGCATGCAGAGTCTTTTTGGCCAGGGTAAAGGATCTGGAGCTCACCAAATGGAGGAAAACAAAATGCTGCTGCTGCCCTGCAGGCTGAAACCACCACTCTTTTATTCCTTCTCGATCTCTCTCAACTCTCCTTGCACATTATGTTGGGATGGATGGAAAGCTTGGATGATGGGGATTGTTGTGGTCTAACATGCAGGGATTGATCTTGAGCTATTGGATGGGATTTGGGGAGGAGAAATGAGATGAGCTTGATGAGGAAAAGAAAGAACAAGCAAGGGAAGTGAAAGGGGAGGAAGAAGGGGTTTTCCTCTTCCCACCTTATGTCCTGAGGTGGGGAGAACGCCTAAGGGTGGGTTTTGGGCTAAAGAGGCACCCAAGGTCAGTGACAAGTGGGCCCAAGTCATGGTGGTTTAAGAGGTAAGGATTGGAATAGAGGTGGAACAAGAATTTGGGCAGATTTTCAGAAATTTTCAACAATTTTACACCTCTTGCACTATGACACTCAGTTAGTTCAAGAAATAATAGTGATAGAATTTTATCCTTTGGTGTGGAGATAGATCTGGACACCTAGTTTCCATTTTTCAAAGTTTCACTCAAAAATTCGAAATATTTTAATTCTGGTGAAAAGATGAAATTGGTTAGGCTGAAAGTTGGTTTGAATTTTTAGGAGGCCTAAACAGAGAGTAAAAATTCTACAAAATTTATTTGTTGGTGATGAATAAACTAGTATTTGAATAAATTATTACACACGTACACTTCTGTTCAAATTATTGTTTAAATAGAAGTGGTTTCAATTTTATCGATTAGAGTTAATTTTGTTATCGCCTATGATCAAATTACAATATAGTAAATATGAAATCTAAAGGACAATAAATGCACTTCTAAATACCTGGTTATGAATGTAGGGCTGTTACAAAGGGCTTGACGGCCGGCGCCCTACCCCTCCTCCTTGATCCGTCCGCCGGCACCCTCCCCTTCCAGATCCAGCGGCGGTGGCTGCAGGCGACGACGGCGGCAGGGGGCTGAGGGCTTGACGGCCAACGCCCTACCCCTCCCAGATTTGTCAGCCGACGCCCTCCCCCTCCCAGCTCCGGTGGCAGCGGGCTTGGGAGAGGCCGGTCATGGGTGGGAGCGGCATGGCGGGCGACAGTGGCGGGGGGTTGAGGGCAACGACGGCTGTGGACGGATCCGGTGGTGGGGAGGTCGGCGGCGGCAAATCCGGCGGTGGGGAATGCTGTGATGGCGGAGCTTGGCGGTAGGGAGGGCGACGATGACGAATCCGGAGGCAGGGTACTCGGTAGTGGCTGGGGAACTCCGGATCCACCGTGTGGGCTCTGGCGACTCCAACAACAACGATGGGAGGGGGAGGGTCTGGTGGCAGTGTGATGAGGACATCCCTTCCAACGATACAACCACGCCTATTGCACAGCAAGGACCAATGACTAGAGCTCGAGCTCGTGAACTTAATTATCAGGTAAAGTCATTCCTAGCTAATCATACAAGTTCTTGTCAGAATTGGGTGCTACTAAATGGTTGTTATGATCTACTTGTTGTTAGGAATATGGGAGAGGAACCAAATCGCAAGCAGCACTAGCAGCGCTGATTTGATGAAGTCAATGCTCTTCACTCCGGAGGGCAAACGGGGCAAATGAGTACTTGTTGGAAAGATCTCGTCGTCTACTTTCAGCTATGTGTGGCCTCACCATCAACTTTGACCCAGGCTGCTCAGAATGACGAAAATAGTTCTTTACATCAGAAACTTGGGCTTGGGCCTTGTATCATTACAGCCCATTAGGGGTCCACAAAACCTAGGGTTTGCTCCCACCTCCTCTCCTGGTCATTCCTCCACCTATATAAACTCCTAGCAGCCACCATTTTGCACTTTGGGTTTTGTTTTGATGTAAGTTTAGCTGCAGCTACTTCCTTGTACTCGCGTGTGTCGGCTAGACCACCCGGATACTTGTATTCAGAACCCCATTTTGGTTTGTTTAAGTTTCATCATTTGACAAGTGCCGTGAGCTGTTTCCTTGTCAGCTTGTTCTTGCTTGTTCTTCGATTGCTTGCAGGTTCAAGGTTGTTCTTGGCACGGCAAGAACAGCAATAACGTGGAGTCGGTGTACCGGTTGCTAAGGCGCAGCACCCCTGTGGTAGTTGTAGTCGGACCGCCAACGTCGTATCCTTCCCCAAATCGAAGTTTATCCTCCTCTCATCGAAAGATCGGGAACCCCCGTTGCTGCATCAAGTGGTATCAGAGCTCAAGTTGCTCGGTGAGAGATTTTATCACTTCTTTGTTTTTACCTACAGCCCAAAAGAAAAACCACTAAAATAGGTCAAACCCGAAATCACCAAAACATGTTGAGCCTTTGCTGTTTTACTTAGTCTTTGCTTGCTGAGTTTTCGATTGCATCGATTGGTTGAGTTGCTGGTTCTAGTAGTTTAGTCCTTTAGAGTTTCGAGTTCTGCTCACGAATTCGTCACCGCAAACACTTCCACCATCACTTCATTTATCTTCATCCCGCTGCCACCATCACCACCATATTCACCACGAAATCCACCTCCAACCCCACCAAATTTCGTCCACCACAACCAGCAGCACCCTCATCACCACATCAGCCACCCCCAAATGCATTTATTGCTGCCTCCACCAACAGCCAACCCTTTTGCAACTTTTTGAAGTGAATCAGCCCTTCCCAAGAAAGCATTTAAGTGCTCTCACTTTTGACTTGTTGGCTGAATCATGTAACTAGCCAACCAACCCATCATTACTTCTTGTTTTGACTTGTTGGCTGAAGCTTTGAGCTTGCTGTACAAAAAAAAAGAAAGAAAACAAAAAAAAAGAAAGAAAAAAAAATCAGAAGTGAAGAGAAGGAAAAAAAAAGGAAGGGAAGAGAGGAAGTTGTTGTTGTTGCTGTTTTGTTTGTGTTATTTTCGTGCTATTTTGAGTGGCTACGCTTGTGACTAGCCTCGCGTCTCTAAAGGGTTTTGCCTAGGACCAGCACAATACCATCGTTGAATGATTATTCAACTTGCTTTGATTAATGTGGTTCTAGCTGTATCTTGATATTACTTGCAGCCACCTATAGCTCCACAAATTTTTATCTACTATATCACAGGATCGTGCTTGTTGTCGGCTCCGGTACTACTAACCGTTGTTGCTGTTCTTGTTGTTTGCCAACGCCTTTTACATAACAAAGTAAGAACATGTAAGAACTCGTTTGCACAAGTTTGGTAGAAGTGGAGATGGACAACACCTAGCTCCAATAGTTGATAGGACATATTTCTTGTGAATTGTTTCTTCCCATTAACCATGACAGGAGGATCGGGGGAGCACCCTCAACATTCACCACGTACGAGGGGCATCATACAACATTTTGAGCGCCAAGTGAGGGAGCATGCTGAAGGCCTTGATGAGGATGTTAGGGTCGCCAATGATCGCCTTGGTCAATTGGAGGCTGCTCAAATTGACACCAACTCCAAGCTTTCCTCATTGGAGAGGTCCCTTGTGGCTGTGAACACTTCTCTTGCAGATATCTTGAATACGTTGGAGAGAATGGGCCAAGATGGTCATGATGGATCGGCTAGGCGCAACCACAATGGCCATGATGCTAATAGCAGCATCGCAGCAAGGGAAGAACTGGAGTACGCTGCTGACACTGAGCATGATGAGGAGGTACTTGGTCGTCCACAAAGACAACTGCGCCGGCAGCGCCATGGCATGGGCGCTCCACCACGGCGGGAGGTACGTGATAATGATGATTCTTTAGGCAAGATCAAGTTTACCATTCCTTGCTTTGATGGAAAATATGACCCTGATGCATATCTTACTTGGGAGTTAGCCATTGATCAGAAATTTGCTTGCCATGATTTTCCTGAGAATAAACGTGTTAGCGCTGCTACTAGTGAGTTCACTGATTTTGCATCCATTTGGTGGAGTGAATTTGTTCGTTCCAATCCAAATAACACTCCCCAAACCTAGGATGCAATGAAAAGAGTCATGCGAGCTAGATTTGTTCCTTCATATCATGCACGTGATTTGCTGCACAAATTGCAACAACTTAGACAGGGAAACAAATCTGTAGAGGAGTATTATCAAGCTTTGCAAACAGGAATGCTTCGTTGTGGATTGGTAGAAAATGATGATGCTGGTATGGCTAGATTCATGGGTGGGCTGAACCGAGAAATTCAGGACATTCTAGCCTACAAAGAATATAATTCAATTAATCGTTTGTTTCATCTTGCTTGTAAAGCTGAAAGGGAAGTACAGGGACGAAGAGCTAGCTTTAGGACTAACATTTCTGCAGGTCGTGCTAGCTCTTGCACATCTTCTAACGCTGCTGCACCGTCAACTCGAGCAGCAGCACCATCGTCCTCAAGCAACAAGCTGCGTCCCTCTACAACAAACTCTACACCATGCCCGAGTGAACCAACAAGAGGGGTTGCTGCTACACCTTCCAAGAGCTCATCATCAGTAGCTTCATCAGGAAGGACAAGAGATATTCAGTGCCTACGCTGCAAGGGCTATGGTCACGTGCGCAAGGACTGCCCAAGCACTCGTGTAATGATTGTGAGAGCTGATGGTGGGTACTCCTCCGCTAGTGATTTAGATGAAGAAACCTATGCTTTGCTTGCAACTAACAATGCAGGGGAAGGTGACGCGCCCCACCAAGATGAGGAACACATTGGGGCTGAAGCTGCAGAGCACTATGAGAGCCTCGTGGTGCAGCGAGTGCTAAGCGCACAAATGGAAAGGGCTGAACAGAATCAGCGCCACACCTTGTTTCAAACCAAGTGTGTGATCAAGGAACGCTCTTGCCGCGTGATCATAGATGGAGGAAGCTGCAATAATTTGGCTAGTGCTGAAATGGTGGAAAAACTTGCATTGAGCACACAGCCACATCCACAGCCCTACTATATTCAATGGCTTAATAGCAGCGGCAAGGTAAAGGTAACACGATTGGTAAGAGTACATTTTGCCATTGGTTCTTATCATGATTCAATCAACTGTGATGTTGTGCCTATGCAAGCATGTTCTATGTTATTAGGTAGGCCATGGTAGTTTGATAAAGATTCTTTACACTTTGGCAAATCCAATCAATACTCCTTTGTGCATAATGGAAAAAACTTGTGTTACATCCTATGTCTCCTGAAGTTATTTTAAAGGATGAACTTGCTAGAGCTAGCAAACAAAAAAATCAGGAGCGTACTAGGAGTGAGCATCTTATTGCGGCTAATGAACTTGAGAAGCATAAGAAGAAACCCACCAACTCTGTTCAAAATAATAAAAATGAGATTAAGCTGAAGGGATCTTGTTTCATTGCAACAAAATCAGATTTGGATGAAGTTGACACTGACACTGTTGTTTGCTATGCTTTGGTTTGCAAAGAAACCTTATTTCCAATTGAGGATACTCCTATTTCTTTGCCTCCTCCGGTCACTAACCTTTTGCAGGAGTATGCTGATATTTTCCCAAAGGAGGTTCCACCGGGGCTGCCACCAATTCGAGGGATTGAGCACCAAATTGACCTCATTCCTGGGGCCTCTCTGCCAAACCGTGCGCCATACAGGACCAACCCGGAGGAAACAAAGGAGATTCAGCGTCAAGTGCAAGAGTTACTCGACAAGGGGTATGTACGTGAGTCTCTTAGTCCTTGTTCTGTCCCCGTGCTTTTATTTCCTAAGAAAGATGGCTCATGGCGCATGTGTGTGGATTGTAGAGCAATTAACAACATCACAATCAGATATCGTCATCCTATCCCTAAGCTAGATGATATGCTTGATGAATTGAGTGGTTCACTTGTGTTCTCTAAAATTGATTTGCGTAGTGGTTACCACCAGATTCGCATGAAGTTAGGAGATGAATGGAAAACAGCTTTTAAAACTAAATTCGGCCTATATGAGTGGTTAGTCATGCCCTTTGGTCTCACTAATGCACCCAGTACTTTCATGAGCTTAATGAATGAAGTTTTACGTGCTTTCATTGGCAGATTTGTGGTGGTATATTTTGATGACATTCTCATATATAGCAGATCAATAAAGGATCATCATGGTCATTTGCATGCTGTTTTTGATGCTCTACGAGATGCACGTTTATCTGGTAACCTTGAGAAGTGCACATTTTGCACAGATCGAGTCTCTTTTCTTGGCTATGTTGTGACTCCGCAGGGAATTGAAGTAGATCAAGCCAAGGTTGAAGCCATACATAGCTGGCCGGTTCCAACAACGATCACACAAGTGAGAAGTTTTCTAGTACTTGCTGGGTTCTACCGCCGCTTTGTGAAGGATTTTAGCACCATTGCAGCCCCATTACATGAGCTTACCAAGAGAAATGTCACATTCACTTGGGCTGCAGCACAAAGGAATGCATTCGACACTTTGAAAGATAAGTTAACACACGCTCCTTTACTCCAACTTCCTGATTTCAACAAAACTTTTGAGCTTGAATGTGATGCTAGTGGGATTGGATTGGGTGGTGTGTTGTTACAAGAAGGCAAACCTGTAGCATATTTCAGCGAGAAATTGAGTGGGCCTAGTTTGAATTATTCTACTTATGATAAGGAATTGTTTGCTCTAGTGCGAACATTGGAAACATGGCAGCATTATTTATGGCCCAAAGAATTTGTTATACACTCTGATCATGAATCTTTGAAACACATTCGAAGTCAAGCAAAACTTAACCGTAGGCATGCTAAATGGGTTGAATTTATTGAATCTTTTCCATATGTCATCAAACATAAGAAGGGAAAACAAAATGTCATTGCTGATGCTTTATCTAGACGTTACGCAATGCTATCCCAACTTGACTTCAAAATTTTTGGCTTAGAAACAATAAAAGAGCAATATGCGCACGATGATGATTTTAAAGATGTGTTGTTGAATTGCAAGGAGGGAAGGACTTGGAACAAATTCGTTCTCACCAATGGGTTTGTGTTTAGAGCTAATAAGTTATGCATTCCAGCTAGCTCCGTGCGTATGCTATTATTGCAGGAAGCGCATGGTGGAGGGCTGATGGGACACTTTGGTGTGAAGAAGACGGAGGATATCCTTGCTGATCATTTCTTTTGGCGTAAGATGAGGAGAGACGTGGAGAGGTTCGTTGCTCGCTGCACAACATGCCAAAAAGCTAAGTCACGCCTTAACCCTCATGGTTTGTATATGCCTTTGCCTGTTCCTAGTGTGCCTTGGGAGGATATTTCTATGGACTTTGTTTTAGGGCTGCCTAGAACAAAGAAGGGGAGGGACAGTATCTTTGTTGTTGTAGATAGATTTTCTAAGATGGCGCATTTCATACCTTGTCATAAGAGTGATGATGCTACACATGTTGCTGATTTGTTCTTTCGTGAGATTGTTCGCTTGCATGGAGTGCCAAACACCATAGTTTCTGATCGCGATACAAAATTCCTTAGTCATTTTTGGAGAACCTTGTGGGCTAAGTTGGGGACTAAACTTTTATTTTCTACTACATGTCACCCCCAAACTGATGGACAAACTGAGGTGGTGAATAGAACATTATCTGCAATGCTTAGGGCTGTTTTGAAAAAGAATATTAAAATGTGGGAAGAATGTTTGCCTCATGTTGAGTTTGCTTATAATCGTTCACAACATTCTACTACTAAGAAGTGCCCTTTTGAGATTATTTATGGCCTTCTACCCCGTGCTCCAATTGATCTTTTGCCCCTCCCAACTTCAGAGAGAGTGAACTTTGATGCAAAATATCGCGCTGAATTGATGTTAAAACTGCATGAGACCACTAAGGAGAACATAGAGCACATGAATATTAAGTATAAACTTGCTGGGAGCAAAGGAAAGAAACATGTTGCTTTTGAACCTGGTGATTTGGTTTGGTTGCATTTGAGAAAGGATAGGTTCCCTAATTTGAGAAAATCTAAGTTGCTACCTAGAGCTGATGGTCCTTTCAAAGTGCTACAAAAGATTAATGACAATGCATACAAGCTTGAGCTACCTGCCGATTTTGGGGTTAGCCCCACGTTTAACATTGCAGATTTAAAGCCATATTTGGTAGAAGAAGATGAGTTAGAGTCGAGGACGACTCAAATGCAAGAAGGGGAGGATGATGTGGACATCCCTTCCAACGATACAACCACGCCTATTGCACAGCAAGGACCAATGACTAGAGCTCGAGCTCGTGAACTTAATTATCAGGTAAAGTCATTCCTAGCTAATCATACAAGTTCTTCTCAGAATTGGGTGCTACTAAATGGTTGTTATGATTTACTTGTTGTTAGGAATATGGGAGAGGAACCAAATCGCAAGCAGCACTAGCAGCGCTGATTTGATGAAGTCAATGCTCTTCACTCCGGAGGGCAAACGGGGCAAATGAGTACTTGTTGGAAAGATCTCGTCGTCTACTTTCAGCTATGTGTGGCCTCACCATCAACTTTGACCCAGGCTGCTCAGAATGACGAAAATAGTTCTTTACATCAGAAACTTGGGCTTGGGCCTTGTATCATTACAGCCCATTAGGGGTCCACAAAACCTAGGGTTTGCTCCCACCTCCTCTCCTGGTCATTCCTCCACCTATATAAACTCCTAGCAGCCACCATTTTGCACTTTGGGTTTTGTTTTGATGTAAGTTTAGCTGCAGCTACTTCCTTGTACTCGCGTGTGTCGGCTAGACCACCCGGATACTTGTATTCAGAACCCCATTTTGGTTTGTTTAAGTTTCATCATTTGACAAGTGCCGTGAGCTGTTTCCTTGTCAACTTGTTCTTGCTTGTTCTTTGATTGCTTGCAGGTTCAAGGTTGTTCTTGGCACGGCAAGAACAGCAACAACGTGGAGTCGGTGTACCGGTTGCTAAGGCGCAGCACCCCTGTGGTAGTTGTAGTCGGACCGCCAACGTCGTATCCTTCCCCAAATCGAAGTTTATCCTCCTCTCATCGAAAGATCGGGAACCCCCGTTGCTGCATCACAGTGGCTGCGAGCGACGACGACGGCGACAACGAGGACGGCAGTGAGCTAGGGTTTCGGGATTTTTATTTTTTTTCGATTTTTTCTTTTTGCAGTCAGACAACTTAAGGGACCGCATGTAAAAATCGGATTTTCGCATGCGATCGTTTTAGCCGCATGCAAAAATCATGATTTTTGCTGACCTTTTCGTGCATGCGGCTGGCCCAATCACATGCGAAAATCAGTTTGAACAGTTTGAAAAAACCTATTTTGTAGGAGTGATCTTCCGATCCTCACCTGCAAACAGACATTCTCTTATGATTGTAACCAACAAAAGCTAAATACCAGCTGTTATAATTGCATGATCCTCATCGACGGATCGAAAATGAATCCGCCGGAGCATGCATATAAACCCACAGCTCACGCGGCGTCGTCGATCTTAGCTGTTCGTCGTCCGTTCGCTAGCTGTGTGCTAACGAGGGCCCCGACATCGTCGTGCCGGTTGGAGTAGGACACAAAGGAGGAGCACTGGAACATATATAGAGCCCAAGGCCACCGTCCGGAGCAGCGTGTACAGCCACAGACACGGCTGTGTTTGAAGGTGGGTGCTGGGAACCCATATCCTATGCATGAAAAACGGAACGGTCCATTGTGCATGATTAATTAAGTATTAGCTATTTTTTTAAAAAAATAGATTAATATGATTTTTTAAAACAACATTTATATAGAAACTTTTTTTTAAAAAACGCACCATTTAGCCGTTTGAAAAGCGTGCGTACGGAAAACGAGAAGGGAGTGTTAACTTGCTCTTGCAAACAGTATCGTGAGGGGCCCGATCTATCTCTGTAGCACCGCGGCGAGCACCGCGAACACCAGGCAACTGATCATCGTCTTCTCCGCGTCCGACGTCTGGGACGCGCACCACCACCAGTGTCAATATTCATTCTCGCAGGAACGTGCTGCACGCTTGCGCCGGCCCGCCTCGTCATCAGCGTCTCTCCCGATCTGCTCGACTCCGATCCGGCCCCTATTTCGGTCTCTCCTCGTGCCTCTGGCACAACAACAGATCGATGGCAAACCGCATACCACGATACCCGTGGTCGAACCCTTCGGCTCGATCGACGCCGTGCCACGGTGTCAGGTTCACCTCGATCTGTCATCTATGTCGCTGGGCCTTGCCTGGGCCAGATGAATTAATGCCGCCGGCGTCGACGCCGAGGCAATGCTGCTCAAGGCTGCCGACGGCCGACCTCATCTCTGGACATATTGTCCACGCTGACCTCTTAACTCCAAGCATCACGTCCTTCAATTCCCTACCTCTCGCCTCTCGGTGATGGTGATGCTCGCCGATCGAGCCTTCGGGGCCAGACAGCCCCTCAAGGCGGCTATACCTCTGGCATGGCTCCACGGCTATTCTTTTCTCTTAATTCCTTCGTCTCGGATTTTCGATCCGTGTGATTGATTTGAATAGTTAGATTCGTAATCTGTGATTTGTGGTTTGTCCTCAACTCCTGATTCCTATTCGTTCAACTGGATCATGAGTTTCTTTTGCTTGTATTTGATGCAGAATCGGTCATGCTGTTCTTCCACGCCGCGCAGGAAGCATGCGGATGACGTGGACGGACCAAAAAGTTAGAGATGGATGAAGCGCGTGGATAAGAGAATACCAAATTCATACGTGTACAATAAAAGCTAGCGGACGTATTCAGGCGGCGCGTAAATTTCGGACGACGTACAAAAATTTACGTGACGATTGGAAAATTAATAAATTTTACTAGAAAAAATACCTGTGCGTTGCAACAGGAAGACTAATCGGTTAGGTTCATGATGCTTTGCATGTGTAGTATTTTGACATTATGGATCATGATGTTGACCCACATGGCAAGCTATCACATAGCGCTTGCTTCACTTGATTGCAAAAATCACTTTGAACTAATAAATGGCAACAAATCGGAGTCGTTGTACGCACGGAAAAAAAATTAATGAAACCAATCGCATGTGTGGATAAAACGGACGATGGACGCAACGTTTTACCGGAAGCCTTACGTATTTTTTAATTAGGCTAGAAAACATGTTAACACCTTCGGACTCCCAAATCAGTAAAATCGAGTCTAATTTGAATGGTTGCCAAATCAATAGGAGTTAAGTCTAATTTGATAGATACACGGGATATGATGGTTTTAATCTTATTGAGCAAAAATAATTAAGAAACATGAACATAAATAAAGTTTATATGAATTTATAATCAAATTTCTCGTTGATTCCATTTACCTAGAATAAGATTAATAAGCAATCATATATTTTTTTTTGCATTTTTTCAGCAATTTTAAGCAATTAAAATGGTACTAATGCTATTTTTGAAAATAGAAAATACTTAAAATCACACATAGAAAAAACCGATTTTAGCCTGGCCCAAAAACTTGCGGCCTGCCTGCTTCTTTGTGGAGTACGCGTGCACGGTTCATGAGGCGGCCCATCAGCACGACAGCGTGGCAATGGCGCCGGCCCGACACGGGAGACGCCGAGGCCGTCCGATCTAATGGGCGATCCCGATTTGATTCGAACGTGGACAAAAATTTGGCAGCCCAACCCTAACCCTAAAATCATTTCCCCGATTCCCTTCCTCTCTCTCGTGAAAAGCAATGGCGGCGGCGGCGATTCGGGCGGAGCGACGGTGGCGGCGACGATTCCGGCGGAGCCACAATGATTCCAACAAGCGGCAACAGCGCGAAGTCCCTTCCTTTCTCTCGTGAAAAGCGGCGGTGGCGACAATTCCGGCGAGCGGCGATGGCGCGTAGCGTGAAGCCACGGCTGTCTGAGCCACTCGGATATCGTGCAGCGAACTGATGCCACCCGAGCCCGGTCTGATGTCATGCGTGGCGCCGTCCTGGTTCTCCTCCGCACGCAGCCAAGGCCGCGATGACGAGCCTCGACCTCACACGACCCCCAAAAGACGGGCGCAAGGCCGGTCCAAGGCGATGGCTAGGGTGCGTGCACGGCGGTGCTGATGCCGTGCTCGCATCACATGATGGCAGCAATTTGCCAAATCGGTAAGTCATCAATCCGATTCGCTTGCCGAGGTTCTAATTTTGGGGACTTTTCGATTTAGGGTTTCTGAAATCATGCCAGTGTGGAATTTTTGTATGTTGTATATTGAAGTTCTCATGGTGTAACACGATGTGGTTTAAATTTAATCCGATCTATGTAAAATCTTGACTGAAACCAATTTGATGCGGACTCGGGATGACGCGATAGGGACTGATGAAATTTTTTTTTACGACGGACGAAAATTTTACCGGAATCCTTACGTATTGTTTAAGTAGGTATATAGGTATAGGTATAGGTATAGGTATAGGTATAGGTATAGGTATAGGTATAGGTATAGGTATAGGTATAGGTATAGGTATAGGTATAGGTATAGATGTAGATGTAGATGTAGATGTAGATGTAGATGTAGATGTAGATGTAGATGTAGATGTAGATATAGATATATAAAACTAGCAAAAGTGCCCGTGCGTTGCACCGGGTGATTACAGAGTGTGTATATTGACCAAAAGTGTCCGTCCGTTGCACCGGGAAGCGTACAAATCAGAAAAATATGCAATTAATTAAAATACAAATTAAAATACAGATTCGCTGAAATATTTGGTATTTTTAAGTAGGTATGTGTATAATTAAATGAATTTACAAGTAAAGCAAGTGTGAGAAATAAAATGATATGGTTAAATTTAATTTTATTAAATTCTCCATGATTAGTTACGCTCTTTGAAATTTTATTGGAATTTTCAGAGCTTAATTGCTAATTTTAATAATACAGACATCATTTAACAATTATGTAATTAGAAAAAGAAAGAAAATACTTCCTTTTAGGTTTGCTTCAAAATAAACACATAATTACTATAATTGTAATGCTTCTGAAAAAAATAAAGTACTAAAAATAAACTTCTCTTTTTCTTTGGCCCGAGGGACCTAAAATAGACTTATTTCCGTCCCTTGCCGGTCGGCCCACGGCCTTATGAAAACCCTAACCCTAACCCTCCCCCTCCCCCCCCACAGCCGAGTCGGCCGCCTCCCCCACTCCCGACGCCGCTTCCCCTCCCCTCCCCTCTGGCGGCGCCTTTCCCCACGGTGGGCGGCGGCGGCGCCCTTCCCCATGCTAGCAGCAGTGGCGGCGGTGGCTCTCCTTCCCAACTCGTCGGCACGGCGCAGCGACGGCGGAGACGGCGGCGACGGCCGTCCTTCCCCCTCTCCCTCTCCCCGTCAGCGTCGACGGCGGCGTCGGCTTCGTCCGAGGGTGGATCCATCGGCGGTGGCGGCCACCGCGGGCGGATCTGACAGCGGCGCTCCCTCCGGCGGCGGTGGTGGCGTCGGCGGCCGCCGGTTTCTTTTTTGCAATTTTTTTCCATGGCTATTGCTAACCAAATCGGATTGAGCACGTGGACGAACGGGACGAAAATAGATGTGACGAAAGGAATAATACGAATATTTATATTAGTTATAAATTATAGAAAAAATGCCAGTGCGTTGCAATGGGTAAACTAAAATTATATTAAATATAAAAATATTAGATGATTAGGATTTAGTTTTACATGATATGAGCTCTTAAAGAAAATCTATTCCTAATGAAATAAAAAAAAGTTCAACTTAAGGGACCTCAAGTCAACTTATTCCGTGCGGAGTAGAACAAATTCGGGACAACTTTAGGGATATTAAATAAACTTATTCTGTGAGATTACAAGCGGCCCAATAGTGTGGGCGGCCTGGGAAGGCCCGACGAGGGAGAAGCTGAGCGGTTCTATCTGATGGACGGTCCTGATTGATCGCGCCCAATATATAAAAGTTGAAAGATCAAAACCCTAACCCTAAAAACATTCCCCACCCCCCTCCCTCTCTCTCAATGGCGCCGCCTCTCTCCCTTCGCCGCTCCTCCACCCCCTCCCCGGCAGCGCCTCTCCCCCTCCCCGGCGGCGCCGCTCCCCCTCCCCCTCCACGGCGGCGCCTCTCCCCCTCACCGGCGGCGCCGCTCCCCCTCCCCCTCGCCCTCCACGGCGGCGCCTCTACCCCCTCACTCTCGCCTCGTGCGACGGATCCGGCGTCGGCGGCGACCGTGGGTGGATCCGGCCGTGGTGGTGGCGGCCGAGGACGGATCCGGCGGCTACGGCTCCCTTCAACCCCTCTCGCCTCCCTCCCGCGGTGGATCTGACGGCGGTGGTGGCATCGACGCCGACCGCATGTGGGCTCGGCGGCTGCTGCTCCCCCTCCTCGGTGTGGCGACGCGGCTGGGAGCGGTGGTGGGCTCAGGAGCCGGTCGCGGCGGAAGGCGGCGATATCGACGACGACCACGACGACAACGACGGACGACGGCGATAACGGCGGCGACGACGTCGACCACGAGGAGGGCGGCTCCGGTAGGCAGCTACGGTTAGGGTTTGGATTTTATTTTTGATTTGGGATGTTGATTTTGTCGAGATTCATGGTTTTGATTTGGGATTGCAATTAAGTGATTTTGTAATTCATATAGTATGGGAATTGGAGGCAAAAGGGTTGGGAACAATCGGGATTTTTTTTATCCGACTGGAATTTTTTGGGGGGTGGGGGAGGGACGAAAAATCCCCTGGCGGACGATGTGACGACCGGAAAAATACGAATATTTATATAGTTATAGATTTGTCAAAACCACAAGATAATCACGAAATTTATATAACGTATATATTTTGTATAGGTTAATGACATCTATGGTCAACTATGCAGAGCTATAAAAGATTACTATTTGTACATCATACCAGTCTTGAAAAATTAAAACTTTCAAGGCCCTAGACATCAATTAATTAAAACTTTCAAGGCCCTAGACATCAATTTGTGAGTACTAATATAGGGGTATCTTTTAAAATATTTTGTATATACTGAAGTATATGATAAAATATACTATTAGGGGTGAAAATAAAAATATGCTAGGAGTCAGATGCCACGTGCTGACGTGCAGGTTCGCCTTTTCTCCATCCGCCTCTTTCTTTTTTTCTCTCTCGCTATCTCTCGTCATCTCCATCCTCTCTCGCCATCTCTCCTGTCTCCTCGAATCCTAAGCCCCGGCGGCTGCTGCTCCCTCCCTAGCGGCGGCTGCTGCTCTTCCTCCCCGGCGTGGTGGCGGTTGCTCCCCTCCCCGTCCTGGTGGCATCTGCTACGCCCCCCTCCCCGGCTGCCCCCTCCCCTCCCCGACGTGGAGCCGAAGGCGGCTCCTGCTGCCTCTCCCCGGTGTGGGAGCGTGGCGGCAGCGGCGGCGGTTGCTTCCCTCCCGGCGTGGTGGCAGCAGCTGCCCCCCCTCCCCGACATTGTGTTGACGGTGGCTCCTACTCTCCCTTCCCGGCATGGTGACGGCGGCTGTGGCGGCTGCTTCCCTCCCCCGGCGTGGTGGTAGCAGCTGCCCGCTGCCTCCTCCTTCCCGGCTGCCCCTCATCTCCCCGATGTGGAGCCGAAGGCGGCTCCTGCTGCCTCTCCCCGGTGTGGGAGCGTGGCGGCAGCGGCGGCGGTTGCTTCCCTCCCGGCGTGGTGGCAGCAGCTGCCCCCCCTCCCCGACATCGTGTTGACGGTGGCTCCTACTCTCCCTTCCCGGCATGGCGATGGCGGCTGTGGCGGCTGCTTCCCTCCCCCGGCGTGGTGGTAGCAGCTGCCCGCTGCCCCCTCCTTCCCGGCTGCCCCTCATCTCCCCGATGTGGAGCCGATGGCGCTTCTCTCCTCCATCGCGACGGTTTGATTTGGGAATATTTTGAGGATTTTGTGATTTGGGATGTTGATTCAGTAACCACCGTGATGAGGATTAAGTTTCTTGCGATCAAATTCATGAGCTCTAGATTGAATTTGGCTTTTTCATACTGTTTTTGGTCGTCTCGTTTGATTGATTTGGGATCGCTTGGGGATTATTTTTCTATGTTCGAGTCGGACTGGAAGGACAGACAAACCGAAAACATCACAAAAATCGCAAAAAAACGCGGGAATCGGACTTGAGCAGTGGGACGACGTACGAAAATATTTGGTAGAAACATCTTAAACTTTTATAATAGGTAGAGATAGAGATAGAGATAAGTAGGTTAGATAGATATATCCAGTTGGTTTATTCGTTTGGTGGTCGCAAATAAATCGTAGGCGAGACTTTTCCGTCTCCTAGACGGACTCGGTGGCCGTACGTGTCACCTGTTCTGTCCCTGCAAAGAAATACTATGGTATAACTAGCTAGACGAGACCTTTTTGGTCTCTACTAGACAGATACCGTAACAGTGTCTGTCTTACCTGGATTACTGGAACATTGCAGTATTTATACCTACATATATATATATGTGCACACAATTCATTATGAATAATCATAAGTCTCTCTCCCTTTGGCTGCATGCATGCCACGAAGATGCAGAAGATGGGTGTGAAGAGGAGGAAGAGCAGAAGCAAGCACACAAACACGACGTCGTACTCCTCCCGAGCTGATGGAAGACATGGTTACGGAGATCCTGGTGCGGCTGCCTGTCAAGTCCCTCCTGCGGTTCAAGCCCGCGTGCAGAGCCTGGCAAGCCATCATCGACGACCCCGTGTTCATCCGAGCTCACCTGCGCCGCTCCGCCTCCAGGTGGGAGCAGAGCCACAGCTTCATCATCAACCCTCACAGCATGGTCAGAGTCCCTTGGGATCGGTGGCCAGTCCCCTCCAATCGCTACCGCTTCCATCAGTGGCAGCTGCAACGCGGCACCACCACCACCTCTCCCAGAAACAATAATGTGGCGACGTTCTTGCATGCCAAGGACTTATCTGACGATCAGCAGTTCTACACAACCGAGTTCACGCACCGCGACGGCCTGGTGTTTTCTACCACCACCACCAGCCTCCACGTCTTCAACCCAGCCACCAGGGATGCCATCACGCTGCCTACCAGTTCCAGGTCCAATCTAATGGGAGGTGGAAGATTCAACTACCACTGCTCGGGTCTAGGCCTGGATCCACGCACCGGCATGTACAAGGTAGTCCAGGCTTTCTTCCGGTTCCAGTCAATGGAACCAGCTGAAACAAAAATGGGGATGGAGGTGTTCACCATTGGAGGAGGAGGTGGTGGTGCCGGTTGGAGGGAGATCACGAGTGATCCTCCATACCCAGCCAAGAGATTCCAGATCGGCGTGTCTGTCTGCGGCTACATGTTCTGGCGCTTTTCCGAGAGGCATACGAAGCTCGAGCGCGGCATCCTCCATCTTAGCCTGGAGGAAGAGGAGTTCGGCATCACCGGCCTGCCAGATGAGCTGGACACTGATAACAGCTTCTTGCTGGACGAGCTACTCGGCCGGGATCTGTGTGTGTCGGCGTCTAACACCAGCTGCACGATGCTGAACATATGGACGCTGCCTGTAGCGGACGAGAGCCTGTGCACGCTGTGGCAATGGCGTTACTGCATCGATTACCCCTGGAGTCTTTGCTCTGTGATGGCTCTTCCTCCTTTCAGCGATGAAATCATCTTGTTGCGAGGTAATAATATATGTCGCTATGATCTGGCGACTTCTAAGCTCAAGATACTATGTAGATTGGATCGCACGAGGTACCAGGGGGAGGGGGCACGGAAGTCGGAATTGTTCAGTGCCATGCCGTTCATCGAAAGTCTCGTTCGGATCACTTATTAATAGCCGATCATCGCCCTGTTCAGTTGGGGCTTTAGCCTTCAGCAGCAAAGCCAGCACAAACAGGATTTTGTGCCTTCTCAGCTGTCTGCAGCGCTGCCGCAGAATAAGCAGCTATTTGCATGTTTATCTATTTTATATGTATTTTGAACCATGTGATATGTACTAATTAAGTTAAAAGTTTTATGCTTAGCTAGTGAATATCTGTGTGGTACTTTCATCTTAACCATATAAATATGGAAATTCCTAGCTTTTAATTTTTTTATTTTGCAGCCATAAATTAACCGATCAGACGTGGTTAGTTGCCACCGCAAATATATGGCTTTTTTTATGCACCCTGTCTACGATATATAATCGAGTGCCATCATAGTGCCAGTATACCGATTTCCCTTATCATATGCCAACTAGCATGCTCAAAGTTACCCTGTTATTGCAAATTTGCAATTGAAATTCATGAAATTTGCTGGCAGAAAGTGGTCAGTTGGGTGATCAAGGCTCAGAGCTGCATCATGGAGTAGAGACCGATTCTTTTTTCATTATATCGGCCACTTCTCTCGTGTTGCTGCAACCTGCAGGTAATCGAATCGAAAGGAGAGGAAACGCGCATGCTGTTGGGCATTCATTTATTTTGATTCATATCTTATATTATGGGTCCTGATATTATTATTAGGAAGGTAAAATCTAAACTGTGAGGTCTCTCTATTTAGCTTTAACGGGAGACGGCACAGAAAGCCTACACATCTATACGGGAGACAACAGAGAAAGCCTACACATCAATATAGATGCATTTCTTTTTATTCTTCTTATAAAATTTTCTCCAAAATTAATTATCCGATCTACAATCCAATTACACCATTGTGTTCGTTACAATTAAATATTTAAACAATATCTTACATGATTATATTGCGACGGAAAAATATTTATGTTTGTAAATTACTTTTATTATATATGTAAGTTACTTTTATCATATATATAAATTACTTTTAGATTTGACTAAGTTACTTCTTATACATTCATAATGCTCTAAATTGATTATTTGTATTATTGTTTTTAGTCAATTCTATAATTTGTGGTAATTTTTCGATAGACCATATTTTCTTCCCTGCAACGAATTTACTTCTAATGTTGTAACAATTTACTTCCATTTTATGCTAAGTTACTTTTATGATTTATGTAAATTACTTTTAGACTTTACTGAATTTACTTTTATAAATGCATTTACTTAAAAATCTTCTCTTACACTTTGCTTGTGAATTTACTCTACATAGTTTATTATTTAAACTCGGACATAATGTAATTACTTCTAATGCCATACAGAGTTACTTCTACTGTATAGCTAAGTTACTTATGCAATTTAAATAAATTACTTTTAAATTAACAAAATGTTTGAATATATTCAACATAGATCTTGTTTTGTCACATATTTTATGTAGAGTACAATCATGCAAATATATCTTAAAAACAATATGTGATTTAAAAGATATAAGGTATTAAAGAGATTAAGAAAATATATACAATTGCACGTTTCAAGTTGAAAGAAGACACTAGGTGGAGTACAAACCAGCTACTACTAGCGGGACAATTAACTTTGGGCCACTTTTAAAATGTGTCAATTAATTATTTGCCACTCGTTGTCTATGACATGTGGACCCTCATGTGTCTATGACATGTGGGTCGCAAGTCATTTATCACCGTCCGTAAGAGTGGCAAATAATTAATTAATCCACCACTAGCTGTGTAGTCACGTCCAATGAAAAAAAAAGATATACATTAAAGTTACTTTCTTTTTGTTATAAGTTACTTCTATAATATATGTAAATTACTTTTAGGTTTTATTAAGTTTACTTTTATATGTCTAAGAAGTAATTTAGTGAAATCTAAAAGTAATTTAGATATATTATAAAACTAATTTCTAATTTTTCATCCAAATATAATAATGTGAGATCTTGTTATAAAGATTTAATTCTTACGAACTCAACGGTGTAATCTGATTGTAATCGGATGAGTAGTTTAAGTGAAAATTTTATTTGAAGTATATGTTGATATGGTCTCTTATAGATAGAGTGGTAGCTGGTTTAGACAAACCAGCTACCACTAGCTGTGTAGTCACGTCCTATGTTAAGGTGATTTTGATTCCATGAAGTCCATGTCAAGCGAGCGGGGGTGTGAAGTCCTTTGGAATTTTAGGATTTTTGGAACATGGGGATAAAAAAAACATAGGTGTTACACCCAAATTCGGCACCTAGTATTAAATTAAGGAAAATTGCCAGAGTTTGAAAGTCTACCGGTTTTCCTCTGAGAGGGCTGGTCTGACCGCCGTATGTCGGCCGGTCAGACCGCCGCCAATGGGCCGGTCTGACCGGCGGTATGTGGCCAGTCTGACCGGCAAAATCCGAGTCAGACTCCGTTTTCGTCGGGTCTCGGGTTTCCTTGCTCGGGAAGGCATGTTTCGTGTTTCCATCTGTTTCTAGCTCGAGTTGGACGTGGAGGATGACCTGTAGAGGGCAAGATCAACCCCTATATAAGGGACAAGGCCGGTTCATTGTAAAAAATCAATCTAATCGTTCTTTTACTTTTGCTTCTAGTTTTAGTTTAGTTTGTCCATCTTTTTCGATTTGCGCCGTAAATCATCCGCCGCTGCTGCGAGAGTGCGACATCTCTTTGTAGGTTTGTCCTGAAAACCTTCCGTTTTGACCACGAGACGGGTAGTTATCCATCGTTCTATCTAGATCGGCTCCGCTAGCCGGTTTAGTTTATCAAAACCCATCTTGATTTAGCTTTGGCTAGATTGAGGTGGTTGGCGACTCTAGGATCACTGCAAGGCGTTTAGGTGCTACGATCGTGCTTGTCAACTTCTCACAAAAAGTTACCAACAATAGAATTCAAAATTCATATAATTTGAGGCAATCCTAAGAAACTTTAAATCGGAATTATTTTCATAGGAATTCAATCCTATAAAATTCACATTACTGGACTAAAAGTAAATATTCCTCTCGTCTACTTTATCTTTTTATTAGTTTTACACTAAAAACTTAACATAATACTAATTGATAATGACATAGCATTTGGTTTAATATACACTTAAATGATTAAAACATGTTGATCAACGCTTGTTAAAAAGTAGCTAACGTATATACGTACTTAAAAAAAAAGAGTAAAGTACACGGCCGGTTCCTAAACTTGTGGGGTGGTGTCAGTTTAGTCCATAAACTTGAAAACTGCACGTTTAGGTCCGTAATCTTGATTTAATATACCAGGGCGGGTCCAATCGGGGATTGACCGCGTCTAACCGCCAACGTGGCGTGCCACATGAGCATCAATTTTGCAATCGGCCCCCTCCACATCGAAGCCGTCGGAAATTTTACATTTTCCCCCTTCTGTGCACTGTAGCAGGCGAAATCCCACTAAAATCCCCAAATCGGCTTGCTCCCTCGCAATCTCCTAGATCGACTTGCTTCCCAGGGAGAGAGGAGAGTAGGGCAACCGCGACCGCAGCGACCTCGGCGAGCACGGCGATCATCGGCGCAGCGGGGCGAGAGGGGGCGCGCCGTGGGGCTTCGCGAGGGCCGGCTCGTGACGGCCCCAACCTCGGCAAGCACGGCGATGGACCTCTCCTTCCGGGGAGAAGGAGAACGAGCGCCCGTGTATCGTGAGTACAACCCAACCCACCCAACTCATCTCTCTCTGTTTATCTTTGTGATGATTCCGTTGAGTTTAAGCATTGAAGATTGGTTTTTTATGCCATGTGACATGATATTGATATGTGCGCTAGGTGAAAAATCTAGGGTTTAGTTGTTTCTTGATTGGGTTGTGTGTTTTCTGTGGTCGTAGGCCCTGGTTCAAAGTATTTCTCTTGAGTTTCACCATGGTGGATTTTTCTATGGTCTGGGAGTGAATCGGACTTATATTGATGGAAAAGTGGATTGATTTGACAATGTGGACTCTCGGGAGTGGGGTAGGGTATTACACCTTCCAGATTTCATAGCTATGCTAGGTTATGATTCAGGACCAAGTTTGAAGGTGTACTAGTTGCTGCCAGGGAAGACACTAGCTGATGGTTTGAGGATTGTTGACAGTGAGGTGGAAATTAATGTAATGAATTCAGTGTGTAACAAGATTAAGAACTTTGTCATATATTTTGATCACACTGACCATGTATCAGGCCGAAACCATGAAGACATCCTTTTGACACCAGCTGCTGAGCTCCCTGAAGTTTTTAGCCCTACTAGAGATGATCATCAGGAACCAAATTTGTCAACTAATGAACATACTGCTGAGGTGAATCAAAAACCAAAAGGAATTGAAGAAGAGGAAGTTGAAGAGTATGATTTGTTTGAGGGCAGTGATGATAGCTCAGCTGATTCAAACTTTGTGGACAGTGACTATGAGTGGGAAGATGATGATGATGACCTGTTTGAGGATAATGTTGATGGTGGTGTTGTAGACATTGGTTTAGGAAAGAAAAGATTCAGTCATAAGAAGGCAACAGAAAGTAAGTTGAAGGGTAAGCAAGTTAGTACAGAAGATTACACTGAGCAAGTTTCATCAGATGATGAAGGATTGCAGTTGCCAGACAATTCAGATGATGAAGGTGATATAACCCTGAGGTTTAAGTCTTTCAATCCAGAGGACATCAACAATCCAGTGTTCAAGGTTGGAATGGTATTCCCTTCTGTTGAGGTGATTAGAAAGGCAATCACAGAATATAGTCTGAAGAACAGAGTTGATATCAAATTGCCTAGGAATGATAGGGAAAGGATAAGGGCACACTGTGCAGAAGGGTGCCCTTGGAATTTGTATGCATCTATGGATAGCAGAGTGAAGTCTTTTGTTGTGAAGACATATGTGGCACAGCACAAGTGCAAAAAAGAGTGGGTTCTGCAAAGGTGTACTGCTAACTGGCTGGCAGAGAAATATGTTGACACTTTCAGGGCAGACTCAAAGATGACTCTTAGTAGCTTTTCAAGAACAGTGCAGAAGGATTGGAATTTGACCCCATCAAGAAGCAAGCTTGCAAGAGCTAGAAGGCTAGCACTGAAGGAAATTTATGGTGATGAAGTTGGGCAATATAACTTGCTGTTGGACTATGGAAATGAACTTAGGAAGTCAAACCCTAGGAGCTCATTTTATCTTAGTCTAGATGACAGCAAGTTTAGCAGACTGTATTTCTCACTGGATTCATGCAAAAGAGGATTTCTCAGTGGCTACAGACCTGTCATTTGCTTGGATGCTTGCCACATTAAGACTAAGTTTGGGGGTCAATTG